CACACACACACACACACAGAGGGAAAGTCGTGGGAACGATACATGCCACACAACGCGCGCACACACACACACACACACACACACACACACACACACACACTTCGCCAGACACACCAAGGTTCGTGTTCGTGCAAGCGAAGGCCAGGGAGGAAAGTTCTTGTCCCAAGCTGTGAAAGGCAATGGCCCGAGACACACACACAAACACACACAAACACACACACAAACACACACACAAACACACAGAGGGAAAGTCGTGGGAACGATACATGCCACACAACACACACACACACACACACACACACACACACACACTTCGCCACACACACCAAGGTTCGTGTTCGTGCAAGCGAAGGCCAGGGAGGAAAGTTCTTGTCCCAAGCTGTGAAAGGCAATGGCCCGAGACAGGCAACCAGAGGGACTGCAGTAAACTGCAGACTGGGGGTGTACCGAGGGGTCGGAGTTTGATGATTCTATCTCGTCGCACCTCTCTCCCAATCCAGTCCGTCATCTCTATGGCATGGTGGTGTCCTCGGCGGAGGGTGATGAAGATGATCTCAGAAGGAGGCTCCGTCAACGTGCTATGGCCATGGACTGCCAGTTGACGCAGGGCAGTCAGCCCACGTACACACCCCTGCCTGTGTTGCCGGGAGTTCATAGCCAGGAACCATCACCTGCCATTACCACCCCTATTCAACGTCAGGATGTTGTACTTGTCGAGGGGGGGTTGCCCACCACCCCAACGCACGTCCTCTGGTGGCGGCAATGGGAGATCTGGTCATGGATCTTTCAGTCCACTTGCAGCTGATGGGGGTGGGTCTCCATGAGTCACAGTCAGTTCTCAGCCTCGACGCGGCATGACGGACTTGCTTGCCTTGTCTACCGGTGACGGAACGGGATGTCAGTTGACGCAGGGTTCACCTGCATCCGGTTCGACGGAGCAGACAGGGTCCGGCGTCTCTGCTCCTGGTCATGAGAGTACACGATCTGAAGGTCGTCCATCTGTTCTGGTTGAGCTAATCCGTGATAACGAATTTGGGGACGTCGAAGCCGTGGACGGCGGATTGCCTGCAGAGCATGTCACCGCAGTAATTGCAGGTGGGACAGCACAAGCTGCTGCCCGTTCACACGATCATGAACTCCAAGCACCGCCATGCAGTCCGACGACTGGGGGTGATGCCGCAGTTGCAGCTGAAGTCCTAGCACCTGAATGCAGTCCGCAGAGCATGGGTGAAAGTGGGGGAACCTCCACACTTGCTCCGTTGGCAAGAGGTGGTGTTAGGAGTGGGCATGAAGCGGGGAGAGGGCAACGTGGCCGCGGACAACCTGGCCGTGGACGTGCAGGTAGGGGCAGGGGTGGACGTCCTCGTCCACGATTCGGGGAGGAGGAGACGATGAAACTCATACGCTGCCGGTACTAAGTGAAGGCTACTCACGGCGATGATTCAGAAGCATGGGGGGTGGCAAAACTGAATCAGCGGTTGTGGCCTGACGTAGAGAATCTGATGAGAGAGGCGAATTATGACCGATCCGACAAGGAGTGTAAGAACCGGTGGCACTTCGTACTTAACAACTACAGGGCTGTGAAGGATGATGATAAGTGGTCTGGCAGGGAGAAGTACTTCACCATGAACCAGACGGAAAGGAAGAAATGGGGTTTGGATTTCCTAATGCGCTGAGAGTGGTACGATTGTATTGACCAGCACGAGAAGGACAAAGATAAATTTGGACGACATCACAGATCCTGGCGCTGAGACTGAGAAAGTGGGGGTGGGCGATGGCGGAGCAGACATTAGTGTCGGGGCAGGAGAAGGTGGTGACGATCGTGTGGGTTCAGGAACGTCGTCACAGCCGCAGGACAACGGGACGAACACTGCAGGTCTGTCTCTTGGTGCAAGGTCCACTGCAGTCCAGGGTAACATGGCCGCGAAGCGTCGAAGGGGTGGCTCTAATGCAAGGGAACAGGCCATGGGTGCTATTTGCGGAGCAATGCGCGAGCACACCACTGCGTAGGTCAGGTCAGATAAGGAGCACCATGTGATCATGCGTGAAATCTGCGACTAGCAGATTGCCGCACAAGAAAGAATTGCCAAAATGACGTGCGAGGCGATGGAGAAGGACACGGCAGCTCGGGATGGCGGAGGTGAGCGTATGGCTACTGAAATCCGTGCAGGGTACTCTGTGCTCGCTGATGCTATCAAGAGTCTGGCAAACCGCAACGCAACTCAATAGGGGGGGTTGCCAGCATTGAAAAGAAACCTTCTCAGATACTTCATAGTAGCAAGTGCAACTATAGGTCGGTTCAGGTAGCGCAGAAAAGTTTGGCTTTTTTGCCTTCGTCTTCGCCGTCCTTTTTGTATATCTGAAGGACGTTAGTTACAGACATGTTTGACCATCGGTTTAGTGTCACCATCGATTGGTGACATGGCCATCGGTTTAGTGTCACCATCGGTTGGTGACATGGCCATCGGTTTAGTGACATGCCCTCTCGGAGGTTAGTGACGTGTTTGGCCATCGGTTTAGTGGCACCATCAGTTGGTGACATGGCCATCGGTTTGGTGACATGGCCTCTGGGAGGTTAGTTACTGACATGTTTGGCCATCGGTTTAGTGTCACCATCGGTTGGTGACATGGCCATCAAAGGTTTAGTGTCACCATCGGTTGGTGACATGGCCATCGGTTTAGTGACATGCCCTCTGGGACGTCAGTTAGTGACAAGTTTGGCCATCGGTTGTTTTGAATCCAGAGGCATCCGTGGGACAATGCCCGTCAAGATGCCGCGCTGCTGTAACGATAAGGACTCTGTAAAATGGCACTTCTGAAAAAAAACAAAGACGATAGTTTGATTCAGGAACTTTTTGTTCTTTTCTGCGAATTCTTTTTTTTTTTTTTTCAGTTTTCTCTTTCGTCCTGTCACGAGGGACTGCCAAAACTCTCCTCATTTGGCACATTTGTCTTAACTATTGTCACATATCGTTTTTGTCCCCGTATTATGGGGACAATCAGATGAGTGTCATGAGTGTTCTCTTTTTTCTTCAGGTTTTGTCTTTGTCTTTCTCATTTTGTGGGATGAGCATCTTTGCCTGTCAGTCAGCTCCCCGAAAATTATGATGATGAGTACATTGATAAACTGACAAAGTAACGGATGAAAGTTTCCTTTCTTTTTATTCCCTTCCTACCTACCTTTTCCCTGCGCGAAGTTGTCACCACAGTGGATGGAATAAGAGTAGCATGCTTGCTGGTTCGATCACATGTTCGCTGGTTACATCACATGTTTCTTGATTTTGGCCGTTCTATGTAGAATGCGTAGTTGAACCTGCCTTGTGCTATGTGTGTGTGTGTGTGTGTGTGTGTGTGTGTGTGTGTGTGCCTGTTTTCTCTTTCTCTTCAGCCACGTCATGAGGCCGTCCACTGACGGCTCTTCAAGTACCGCACAGTTTTTTATGCATGTGTGCATGCAGGTGCAAGAAATGTTGAAGTACCTCTCAGTCGGGTAAATGATGACTGCGCAGATGTCATAGCACATGGATTGTTTTTTCTTTTCTTCTATTTTTTGGCTTCATCTTTCTCTGAACGTTCACAAAGTTGTGTTATGTTCTCGTGACACAAAAGTATGGCGGAATATTCATCTCTCTCTGAATGGATCTGGCCTCGCTGGTCGTAATAGATTGTTACGTGTCACAAAGTTGTGTAATATTGTCGTGACACAAAAGTATGGCGGAATAATACGATGACGAAGATGGTGATAACGAGGACGATGATGATGATGATGATGATGATGATGACGATGGTTGTTTTGATGATGGTAATGATTATTACAACAGGGGAAGATGATATTTTCCCCTCCCCTCCCCTCCCCCATACTGATGATGATAGTGATGAGTATAACGAAGTCAGGGCCATCTCCTTTTCGCAAGTGTTGTCCATATCTGCTGGAGTGAAGTTCGTACTCCTGCAGTGCACCTTGGAAGGATGGCGGTGCACAGAGCAGATGCAGGCAAAAAAATAAAAAAGGGGCAACTAGGGTGCAGTGACGTTTTCAGTTCTAAATCCACTTCAGGTATCCCTCGAATACAACACATCCCCACCCAACCGTAAAGTTGGGTTGGATACATTCACGACTAATTCACAAAAACGTTGACGATATACCCATGTCTTGGAAAAAAAAAATTAAAAAAATAAAAATAATAATAATAATAATAAAAAAATCGACAGCGTCACAAATCGTCATAAAAAAACACACTCGCACACACACAAACACACACACACACATGGAGGCTTCAGAAATCGTCCTAAGAAAATCTCTCATCATTTCAAAATCTCTCTCTTACTGGAAGCACCATCCAGCTTAGCTTACAGGCTGAAAAGCCTGCAGGTCTTTCTCTACCAGACCTCAATGTCCTTCCACAGAACCTCTCTCTCTCTCTCTCTCTCTCTCCCCTTACAAACGGAGACTTAGCTACCAACATAGGAATAATGGGGAGCTACCAACATTTCCCTGCAGCTACATGCCGAAACTGGGTGGACTATGGAACACTTCTTTCCAGAAGTCGGGCCCGTCACTCAGCAACTCGTTCACACACTCCAATCGCCTGCATGTGCCCTGCAGTTGCTCAACTTGCGTGTGCAGTTTGCAGCAAGACTCGCAGGTGGGCATTGAAGATGAAGTCCGACTTTCAGTTGCACGCTGGTCCGTATCTTCAAGTTTCACGCTTTCCAATTGCCCGCACACCAGGGCCATTTCCAACTCCGAATTGGGGGCCCTGCTTCTCAACTCCGAATACCGTTGCCATGCAATATCCCGCTCATCTACGGCCTCCTGCATGGCAATCTCAGCGTCAGCCACACGCGTCTGCATTTTAGCATTGTCGCCTTCCGCCTGAACCAAACGTCTGCGCAGTTCATCAATCTCACCTTCCGCCTCATGCAAACGCCTGCGCAGTTCATCAATCCCACCTTCCGCCTCATGCAAACGCCTGTGCACATCTTCAATCTTGATATGACTTTGCCGCAATGATGTGTGCAGCTCACCAATCTCCTGGTGCGCGTGCTGAAGCCGTGAACGCACGTGCTCACACTCGTTTTTCTTATTCACAAGCTTGAGCAGCACTTGCTCACACCAGGCACGAAAGTTTAAACGACTCTGCCTCAATCGCCCGCCCACACGAATGCACCACCTGTGTGCCATCGTGCGTCACCTCTGACTACAGCCGCTGTCGCCCCTCGCGATTGGTGACAGTGATATCGTACCCCCTGGCGACGAGGAACCTGTGCAGGACTGACAACTCTTGATGGGCTTGCAGCAGGTCATCGCTCGGTCCCTGTGCAGCATGTGCATCCTCATCTCCAGCAAGCGCGGCCCTTGCTATGCCAGCAAGCCCTCCACTGCCCGCGACAGCGTTCTCCATACAGCGCCGTGTGACGTGTGTGTGTGTGTGTGTGTGTGTGTGTGTGTGTGTGGACCACTGTGCAGTGTCAGTGGGGGGGCAGGCAACACTACACATCCACGATGGGGTCCTGCGGTCGGTTTAAATAATCACATAACGCATCACGGACCGCTAAACCAGCCCCTCTGCATCTCAAGTGCCTGAGGGGCGCAGAAGATCGAGGAGCTCCGTTGGCAGGCTGGTCACCATATCCACCACCCACACCTTCGATGTTGGCACCCTCTGGCAAATCTCCCCAGGAAAGCAGCAAGTTGTGTAAAATGCAGGCAGCTTGGAACTCTTTGCCTTCAATGCGAATGTCACAAACATGCGGTCGGTAGAAGTACTGAAACCTCATCATCAGCACACCATTCCCATGCTCCGCACATGAACACACAAGTTTGTGGGTGTCATCAAAGACCTTGATTTCCACGGGCGGATTATGAATGCCGTAAGGGACCACTATCCAAGACAAGGTAGGATAGCCTGCGTCCGCCAGCAAGTATCCATTTGGCACCCCAGGAACGGTTGGCCTCAAATGCCTTGTGGGATCGGATGACTTTGCTTGGAACAGCCCACCCCTCACTGCCTTTCTAAACAAGGATGAGTTTCGAAGAACACGCCCGTCTGCAACAGTGCCTGGGAATCTGTAACACATATCCAGGATGCGCAGATCTAGATCGAAAACCAGTTGCGCTACAATGGAGAACCGTTTTTTGTGGCCTGCCATAAATTCATCACCATCCTTCTTCTTCGGCTTGTCTACGAAAACATGAGTGTCGTCTATACACCCCCAGCAATTCGGGAATCCGGCAGCAGCAAACTTTTGCATGCGCTTGTGACGAACCGCATATGAACCAAAGCCGACCGCGGCAGGGAAATGCTCTATTGAGGCGTCCCCAACTTCACGAAGAGCACGCAGTCCACTGGTCTTTCCCATGCCGTATGCCGAGGTGCTATGGAGATGTGAGTCCCCGTGCGCCCACCTGTGCAGAGCATATGCGAGAACCTGGGCAGGCGGGAGAGGTGCTCTCCATTTCGTCACCTTTTTAGCAAGATGTGGCGCCAACACATGCCGGAGTCGATTGAAATTTGATCGCCGCATGCGGATCTGCGAAACGTAGTGGTCATTCTCGGCATCATCCACGATCTCGAGGTCCTTCCAAACATCCCCACTCCGTCTCATAACCCACCACCGTGGAGAGTTCTGTGGCAGCACACCAGTAGCATGTACCACAGATGGCCATTGCCAAACAATGTTTCTCTGTCTCTTTTTCGGTGGCTGTGCTTCGTCCTCCCCACCCGAAGTCCTACGCAAAACTACATGCTTCCCATCAAACGGGGAGTCATTCCAAAGGCAATTGAACGCAGTCAAGCAGTCCTCCGTCAGTGTCTGTGCAGCAGCGAGTATGGCCACAATGGCTTCGGCAACAGACGCGTCGAGGGGTTCCATTTCCACTGCGCCCCCCCCCCCCCCCAAAAAAAAAAAAAAGGTCGGCTACCTGTCAAACTCAGGCTGGATGTGTGGTATCACAGTGGAACAGTGCCCGCTGCACAGGGCCAGTAAAGCAGATTACGTGACCTCAAACTGGCCTTTGCCCACAGAACACCCTGCCTGCAGCGCTACCCAAGGCACAAGTGCCACGGAAATGGCATCTACACTCTCCTTCCCACTTGGCGTGGCTATGTATCGGACACACCCACGGTTGGTCCCACGCACATGATACACGGTATGGGACTTCGTACTTCAAAGGCGCGAACTAAAGGCAACACTTGTACTCGTCACAACATTATGTGCATGATACAGGGCCTCGCTGCACTACTCTTGAAAGGTGCAAAACGAGAGTGAATCTTCCGCTATAACATGGAAAGATACAGCGACATGATTTTTGTCTTTTCTGCATTTCAAGAGTAGTGCAGCAAGACCCACATTGACACGAATCGGGAGAAGGCAGTACCCTTAGAAAAAAATTGGACGTGGTACGTACTTCACATTGCCACGGCCTCAGATTGCCGAATCTGTCAGGTCCGTAGATTCGGGCACAGGGAGTAATGATAACGATTTCGCCTTTCCTTCTTTTATTTTTTCAATAAATTCACAGAATACAAATGATTGACGAAAAGGTCTTTATGGAATTGACAAAAAATGCGAGAAAATAGTTTTTTAATCACGAAAACCGTGTCGCACCGTGGAGCTAGCTCAACTCAACGGTGCAAGTGGGACATGGCCCCGGGGACCTCAAAATTCAACCCGGAGTTATCCTGGCAGCTTCAGCCAGTTTAGCTTACGAGCTGTAGCTCGAGCAACTCATGGGAGTCAGGAGGATACTCCAGGAACAGAAGTGGCCAAATCCAGGCCGCTGTCCTGAAACCTCTCTCCACAACAAAGTTAAGCCACAGGCCAGAGAAAACCTAGCAAACCAAAAAAATTAAAAACAAGGGAAACAAAAGAAAACTGTCAACCCTACCTATCTACCTTCTTCAGGACAACAAAAGAAACCAATGCTAATACGACGGGTGGACCTTAGCGGACGACAGAGCCACGGAACCAATGCGTACTCCCTCATCTCAAATACCCTGCTGCCGTCCTACTGTGGATCAACAGAACCTAGTACCAAATTCATAGTCCCTATCTCACTCCCAAAACCACTTGTCGAAGATCAGTTTTCCACCCAACGTGCAGGTTGCCCCAAACCAAGATCCTTGGCCTTTCCTTCTCTGATCCGCCTGAATGATCCTCCTCAGTGAGGATTTGAACAAGGTCCTGATTTCCTTGTGTGATTTCTGTCCTCGACAATCCGTAGGTTCCTATCCTTCCACATGACGTTACAGCCCACCGGTCTGGCTGATTGGGCCATGTAGCCCCAGCACTTCTTCAGTTCCCTGTGTTCTGGAATACCCCCAAGGAGTACCCAAACTCTGTCCCATGCCAGATTGCCTTGTGACTTGCGGGCCCGATAGGAATTCCACCAGTCCCAAATTATCTTCGACGCAGGACAATCATACCACAGATGTACAGTCGACTCATAAGCCCAGTTGCATCGTTTGCATGTCAGGTCTATCTTCGTTCCCCTTTGGAACAGGTTTAGTGCTGCCGGAGTGGCCAGAACGGATAACAGCCACAGGTTTGCTGCCAATCTGGGATATGGGGCAACCTTCAGTTGGGTCTAACAATGGACCAACTTCGTTTCAATCTGCTCAGGATTGACATCTCACACTTGCATCCATCTGGCTACTGCAAAGAGATCTGGGTGTTCGAGTAGAAGCTTGTGCCAAGTACCCTTGTTCAACAGAGTAACAAACCAGTGGTTTGAACCAGTGGTTTGTCCTGCCTACCAGCCCCTTCCCCTCTCCAGCGGTTGTTCCAGCCCCTTCCCCTCTCCAGCGGCCACATTTTTCTTTGGGTCCAATTTAAGTAGGGTCAGCGATTGGCAGTTCTTTTGCGAACAATTTGCATGTCCAATTTCGCCGCAGTGGGGCGGACATCCTGTTGTAAACGGTGGATGAATCGGTTCCCCACACTGAAAGGACCTCTTACCGTTAACATCAATATTCACTACCGTCTTCACCGAATAGAACGCCCGGTCATTATAGCCGTATTTGCTGCATTTTTCAGTCCAGATACGGCCATAATTACCGGACGTTCTGTTCGGGTGAAGACGGTAGTTTCAGAAAACCGGGGCAGTTTCAAGTGGCCGGCTAATGTCCCAGGTACCAGGGGGATCGACCCCCTCCGGACTGAGAATAGATTTCCTCTCCATTGTTCTGGAATTGCGTCTATAAGATCGCGAAAACTTTCCTCAACAAACCAAAACGAGCCCAGCACCTCCTCAAGGCCCTGGGGGACTTCCATTGGTTTTCCCATTTATGCTACAGACCACCTACTCTCAGCACACCTCTGTCTATCCATTTTCTGCCAGAACTCCCTCGAGAGAGATCTGCAGCAAACCACCTGCCATCAGGGCGGCGGATGTGCGGGTTTTCAAACAGTGGTAGTTGCAAGACTTCTGTTTTAGTAGTAGGGAGAAGCCATGCATTGGGCATCATCTTTTTCCAAGCGGAAATAACTGCGGCCCAAAAATCTGATTTCACATGTCTGTTCAAGAAGGAAGGGATAAGCAGACAGATCCACACTTAAGGTGGTCTGGGTAGATTCCATTCCAAGGACAGAATGGTTTCTGCAACCCAATGTACCTCCTCCTCTGCGCTTATGTCACCCCGACTATCCATTGCATTAGCATTGCTACATTCTTTCGTTGTGGATCGATTAAATCCATGCACCCCTCCTGTTTAGGGCAACATAGAAGTTCGCAAGCAACTTTAGACAGCAAGCTTTCTTCTCTAGCAAAGGGCTTCCATATAAATTTAGCAGCCTGCTGTTGGATTAAGGAGCACAGTTTTTCCCAACAGGCGGACTGCTGCTACAAACCACAATAAGGCAAACAAATCCCCATTTATAACCAAAACCCGCCCATATAAAGACAGGTGGGGAGCTTTTCCCCAGGTAGATACTCTCTGAATCGTACGTTGTAGCAAGATGCTTTCCTGATCCACTGTACAAGAAAGCAGTGCTACTTGAACTCCTAAAAAGCGTTCAGAACTACCCGTGGTGATTCTCTTCATCCACCAGTTTACCACTGGTAGATGGGCGTCAGGGAGAAAGAACACTTATTTGGCCCAGTTAACCGAAGCCTCAAACAACTAGTGCTCATCTAGGCATTTCGTTAGGGTTGTCATTGAATCAACAAAATTCTCGGAAATCGCAAATAAGTCATCCGCGAGGGCCTTCACTTTGCATTGCGCAGAGCCTGCCTTGAGGCCAGTGATCTGTGGGTAGGTTCTGATAGTGCATAACAGGTTCTCCATTTGGATCATGAATAAGAGAGGGGAAAGGGGACATCCCTGCTGTAGAGACCTAGTCAGTGAAAAGGTTTCTGATAGCTTGCCATTGACCATCACTGCAGCAGTAGACAGGGAGTATAGGGCCAACACCCCCCAGTTACGCATGTTCTCCCCAAAACCTGGAGATTGCTGAAAACAAATTCTTGTTCTTTGCAATTAGTAGGCGCATATATCGAGGCGATCACCCACTCCCACTTCCCCATCCCCATCCACAAGAAATCGAGGCATGGAGACTTCGGCAATAAGCCGAAGAGTGAATTTACCTTGGAACAGAGTTTGAGCAAGGTTTTCCGTAACACAGGGCATCGGAGACTTCGGACACGTCATGTTAAACAAAAGGGGGTTCCCATCCAAACCTATCCATGCAACAACCCAAAAGGAATCCCTACCTGCAGCAAGAACAATCGGAAGGAGTTTCGCTTCAACACAATTAGCAGGCGCATATATTGAGGCGATCACCCACTCCCGCTTCCCCGTCCCCATCCACAAGAAATCGAGGCATGGAGACTTCGGCAATAAGCTGAAGAGTGAATTTACCTTGGAACAGAGGTTGAGCAAGGTTTTCCGTAACACAGGGCATCAGAGACTTCGGACACGTCATGTTAAACAAAAGGGGGTTCCCATCCAAACCTATCCATGCAACAACCCAAAAGGAATCCCTAACTGCAGCAAGAACAATCGGAAGGAGTTTCGCTTCAACACAATTAGTAGGCGCATATATTGAGGCGATCACCCACTCCCGCTTCC